CCCACACGCCGCCCCCTGCCGCCGCAACCGCCTCGGCGCGGAAGCGGGCCCTGCTGGAGGCCAACGAGGAGGAGGAGAAGGAGATCCGGCGCCTGGAGCGGCGGCTGGGGCTCGGCAAGCGCCGCAAAAAGCAGGAGGGGGCCGCGGCGGAGAAGGTGCCGCAGAGCTTCCTGCGGGACGGGCTGGGCTACGTGCTGGGCGCCCTGGGCTCCCGGGCCGGCCTCAGCAGCCTCTGCGAGAGCAGCGACGAGGAGGAGGCCGCGGCGCCGCGGGAGCGCCCGCCCGGGCCGCGGGAGCAGGACGAGGAGGAGCCGGAGCCCTCGGAGGCCTCGGACGCCTCAGAGCCCTCCGAGGGGGATGATGTGGAAGGACAGTGGGAGAGCGAGAGCTCGTCCTCGTCCCCCGAGGACGGTGGGGTGCCTGAGGCCAGCGAGACCCCGGGCGAGGAGGAGGAGGAGGTAAGGTGCTCGCCTCAGATAAGGCAAACCTGCTTCTCAATATACATGCCACAACCTGGACACAAAGCAGAGTTTACATTATCTCTAAAGCACAGGTGTTTGCTGTCTAGTCAGGCCATGCAGAGCGTTGTGGGTCACAACGGCGCCGGGCCCAGCAACAGCGGCCTGCCCAGTCCGAGGGACGGCTGTCAGGCCAGCAGGGCAGAGCTCCCCCCGGTCAGGTAATACCCTAAAGCACAAGGCATGTGGCCTGGTCTCTGTACGAGATCAGTAAATAAAAGGAACTGCCCCAGCTTTAGAGTGTAAGGACATGATTAAGCACTTCTGCTAAGAGCAAAGAGAGCTTATGTTAAAATTAATATCTGTCGCAAACTGAAGTGTTACCATTTCTGAATGATCCCAGAGGTTCTGCCTGCGTTAGGTCTTGTAGCGTGAGTGGAGGAGAAGCAGCCAAATGGGTCGTTTAGCCCGCATGGCACTAACTTAAACTGTTAGTAGTCTGCAGCTGATAAAACCTGGATAAAACCAAGACCTAAGATGTCAGGTTTTAATAACAATAACTTGAAGAAAATGTCCTGTAAAGGGAAGAGGGGTTTTGCTGCCATCAAGTTGATTGTGAGCGGTAACTTGTTGCGTGCTTATTTTCGGTATGAAGTTGTTCCTTTGGCATTAGTTATTAGATGGCAAAATATATACTTAACTAAAAGTTTGGTATATTAATCTTGAATAGCAATGTATATTTGTGTTCAAATATTTAAGATACTAGTCTCATTTGGTATCTTATTTTATTGTTTTCCTGGCAAGAGTCATAATCACAGTGCTACAAAGTATGTTCCCCCTCAAGTAAGGAAAGCTCAAGAGACACTAGATGACAAGAAAAGAGAACAATTGGGAAGACTGAAGAAAATGGTGAATGGTCTCATTAATAGGTAATGTAATAAGGAAAGTCATTAATCTTTCTGGTTTGATGTGACAGTGCTCATCATTCAAAGAAAAGTGGCAAGGATGTGACTTTTCTTTTCACAAACTGATTTTAAGTTGGCAATCATGTCTGCTATCCTTAGTAATAATTATCTTTGTTGACATAAATTCTTCAAAGTTAGTCGTTATAGAAGTTGAAAAATCTAGAAAATAAATTTAAGATTGGGCTGAATTCCACACAGCAGTTGCCTGCAAGTGCTAGGTGTAATTCACTAAGTGTCAGCTGGAGTATGCCTATAAAAAAACCTCATAGTGTCAGTTATAACTCCCTCCAAAAAGCATTATTTTCTTTTTTTTAATTAAATAAAATTTAATTTCTCCAACACTACAACTGAGGAGGCGCAACACTTCATAGCTTAAAGTACTGAGGAACAGAGAAAGTGATTAACACTTTCACGTGTTGTAATTTTAAAGTATTTTTAAAATAAGAAATCTATTGACATTTTCTTTTATCTGTTATCTGTAAAATGCAGGCTACAGCATGCAGTTTGTTCAGTTGTTTAGAATTTGATATACCTTGTATGTTAGAAAAGTATGAGGTATTTTCATACTTTCTCCGAAGACTGGGATGTGCTACAGTTACAACTGCTAAGAACAAAGTCTGTTTTCTTAGTAAGTTTGTTCAGTGTGATAGTAAGCACATTGACAGTGCTTTGTAAATACTGCTGCTAATCTGTTTTTACATATAAATATTTTCAAAAAAAAAAAAAACCCTAGAATTAAACATCTGTTGTATTTTTTTTAGTTTAGTGAACACAGCAAAATACAAAAGGTCCCTTCCAGTCATCTTTTCAGTCTTTCTTCCGAAGCCAAGCTGATTTCTCTAAAAAGAATAGGTTGTTTGTTGGGTAAAATGAAAATTGTGAAACCATGTAAAAGGAAGAAAAAGTGAGCATTGGATTTTGTTTCTCAATAGGCTGAGTGAACCAAATTTGTCCTCCATTAGTGGACAGATGGAAGAACTCTACATGGCCAACAGCAGAAAGGACATGAATGAAACTCTGACAGATGTTCTCATGAATGCTTGTGTTACTGCAGTTGCCATGCCTGCAAGATTGATGATGGAGCATGTCCTTTTGGTCAGCATTCTTCATCATAATGTAGGAATTGAGGTAATTCTTGTGGTTGGGACTAATTTTGTTTAATAATACGTATTGTAGAGTGTTTTCCTTGATATTTTGTTTGAATTGCCTTTCAATTTTTGATTGTGTGTCCCTAAAAAGCATCTCTAGTTGAATTTAATCCGTATTTGTAGCTTATTTGCTAGGTGTCCCCAAGTGAAAGGGACCAAGTCTGTTGCTTTATCTGATTAATTTATTTTCTCCATGAGTTAACACTGGTCACTTATAAAAAAAATAATTTTTTTCATCAAAATCTTTCTGCATCGATAAAACTGAATTTTTTAAGCTTCAAATCTTCTTCTCTGACTACACTAATCCATTTCTGTTCTCTTGGGTATATGAGGGTATTGTTCTTGAAAGATGTGTATCCAGGTAAGGAAGGCGCTGCAGTTACAGAAATCCTTTTACATCAGTGGAAAAAGTTCTTTTTTTAAGCCCAATCATGCAGATCATCAGTGGAATTAACTAGGTATATCAGTGACTCCAGAATATAAAAAACTTCAAAAAACATGGCAAATTTTTTTGAGGGTATTTTTGTGTTTTTAAGCCTGATGAATGATTGAGATAAATATCTCTTGCTTACTGTTAAGAAGCTGAAACTGCTGATGTCAAAGGGAAGATTTTAGCTAATTTCAGTGAAATTTGTCTGAGGAAACTGAGGTGTTCCAGCACCATGTTCCCATTGAGTAACACTTTCTTTCTACATTTCAATGCAAAAGATGTATTGATGCAAATTCTTCAGTTTGTCCTATAGTGACCTGAATGCTGTCTCTGAAACAATATTAAATATCAGATGGATGCAATTACAGCAGGTTTCTCCATGCAGCCTTGCCATTAAACTTTTTTTCGTTCCTCTTTGCTGCTGTTTTAAGGAGACACACAATCTTTTTAGAAGTTGAAACTTTGCAAAATACCTAGTAATAGGTTTTAAATATAGATATAATAATAGGTATTAGAAATAGATGATATCCAGACTGTCTTCTGTACTACTGACTCTGTTACACAGCATCGTTGAATCTAAGACTGTAGTATTTAGTATACTATAAAGACCCATTATTTTTTCTGTGAAATAAATGTAGAATATGCATTACACGAAAGTGATAGCACAGCTGCATTTAAGATTAGTTTGAGCAATGCAGAAGTTGGGATTCCCATAGCTGTGTTTATACATTTGTGCAGTATGATCATTGCATAATTAACACCTAAGCTGGTCAAGGCTTGTAATGCAAGTCAGTACTGCTACTGGGACTTCTGGTTTTCATAAGAACAGTCAGCAAATATTAGCACTATAATAATGGGGGCGGGCATTGTTTAGCAGTAATGTGTTCGTTACCTGCCTGTATTTTGGTACGCTTTCTAATTCCAGTCTTTAGCATCAGTTCTCTCTTCACAAATACAGATTCCAAAATTTCTTTTCCCAACTGTACCACTGACAAATGGCTAAGACTTACCCCACTTCAAAATCAGCCTAAGCTCATGCTCAGCAACTGTGAAAACTTCATATGTTGGGGGTTGTTTTACAATATTATTTTTTTACCCTCCCGTTAAGGATATTGTTCTGGAATGCTGAACTCTGTGATGCATTTGGTTTTTGACATGCAGCTTTTACTGGATGAATGACTAGCAGTAACAGCGTGCTAGCCTGACAGCTGGGAAGATGCTAATATGTGCCGATGAAAATTATGTAAACAAATTCTGATGTATGTGTACTGTAAGTTCATAACGCTTGCTTTTCTTGCACTGCACTTAAAAGGCAACTGGATGGCATATAAGAGGTGTAAATAACATATACTCTAAGAAAATGTCACGCCACTTAGATATTTCTATATGTAAACGTAGAACATCCATATTGGTTCAGAGGAGCAACAATATTTCTTTAAAATTAATAGTGGCAGTGCCCCAAAAATGAATGTGTTACAGATGTCTGTAAAATCGACTTACGGTTAACTGCTGGATATTTTTTTTTCCCCCCCTTTAATGGAACTCTTGCCAGGTCGGTGCTCACTTTTTGGAAGCTGTGGTGAAGAAATTCGATGAACTCTGTAAAAGTGATGCTGAAGGGAAAGAATGTGAAAATCTGCTTGCCTTGATTGCTCATCTGTATAACTTCCATGTGGTTCATTCCCTGCTGATCTTTGATATTCTGAAAAAACTTGTTAGCATTTTCACTGAAAAAGAGATTGAGTTGATTTTGTTTCTTCTGAAAAACGTGGGCTTTTCCTTAAGAAAAGATGATGCATTGGCTTTGAAGGAACTGATCACTGAAGCCCAGAGGAAAGCAAACACAGCAGAGAAGAAACTCCAGGATCAGACTAGGGTATGTGTGTGTGTTTTAAAAGATCTGTTCTGAATAGACTTTAATAAGCACTTGGGTACATGCGTTAATTTACCAAAATGTTTTCTGCTACGCTCTATTTAGATTCTAAGTTACCATTAGTGTTCAGTTGTTGCATTCAGTTATTTGTATTCTTATTCTGTCTTTCTCCATTAGTTCTCAGGACACAGGCACCAAAATGCTTGTAATGGTTGAGACTAGGACTGGTTTGTGTCTTATGCAATGGACAGTGCTTCTGTTTCATGACACTTTGTACACCTCAAAAAATGGTCACTGAGGTGTGGTGTTTAGCAGATTAAGCTTTGAATTGATGCTTGAACACAAATATAATAGGAGTTAAAGTAAACATCCTTCTTTGTATTTGTATTCATGTAATCTAAATTTTGATGTATATTGCCAACTGAGCTGCTTATTCTCACAGAATAGTAATTTCGAAGTACACTCTCTGCTTTAATAAAGAAGCTCACAGCACATAATCCACAAAAATATTTCTTTTCCCAATAGGTTCGTTTTATGCTAGAGACTATGTTGGCACTAAGGAATAATGACATGCGTAAGATTCCCGGTTATGATCCGGAACCCGTTGAAAAACTCCGCAAATTACAAAGAACACTGGTGAGAACTTCTTGACACCTGTAGTATGGCTGTTCTTAAACCAGAAGTAACTATTCCTATCGTACGTTGGTTTGATGGGCTATAGTATATTTTAATTCATTTAACAGTCTGAAACTCTTGTGGACTAAAATCACTCCTTAGATCATTAAGTATTATCTCCTCTGTCCAGGTTTAGTCAGCAGTCAACCAGCCTTCTGCAGAACAGTTTGAGAAAGGACATAATACTCGGCCAAAGACTTTGCCTCAAAGTCCTATACTTGAAAAAGAGATTGTGGGATGTTTAATGATTGTGCAGAAGAAATGAGTCAAGTAATGACAAGTTCTTTTTTCCATAGATTTTGGATGCAGGCACCCACTCCTAACTTCACCAGAATTATTGTGGAAGTCTAACACTTTTGAAAGCCTGGATGGTTTTTTTTCTTTTTTTTTTTTTTTTTTTTTTTTTTTTGCGGAGAGAGGGCAGTTTGTCTAGAACAACCCAGTATAAAATGCATGAAAGTAATAGTCTCTTTGGATTGAGAACTAATTCATTTTACAAGACTGGAGTCTGATTTTTGAAGTCCCTGTATCTCCAACCTGAAAATTATACTACTGGTCTATAACACCTAGAGCATTGTATTTTTCAGAAATTTGTAAGTGCAGGATGTGCACATCAGTGATAATAGGCCAGGCAAAAATAAGCTAGGTAACCTAATCCTGTAGAATTTCCTGTCTTAAATTTTTGCAGTCCTCTTACTACGCTTCTAGCCTCTTTTGTTGAAAATTCTTATTTTGTTCGAAGAGTTTAAACTTTGTTGTTTGAATTGTACAAAACTTAAGGCAGTTTGTCATGTGATTTTATTTGATCACAGGTGTTCAAAAGGAAAATCATGACCAGATTGTAAGATGCTGCAATTGATTTTCAATGTCAGCATCAAGTCTGAATTCTAATCAAGTTTTATGTTTGGAAGGTGGTTACTTTTTATTTGATTGTCTCTTTTTTTAAATAAAAAAAAAAGCAAGAGCTTCTAAATGTAGATTGAAGCAACTTCTTCTATTTGAGAAATTAGAGCATATGGGAAACTTGTAAATTCTTTTCAGGTTGCTGACTGAAACTAAAGGTTGTGGGGGGAAACGTGAAGACCTTTATGGGGATTAAGTTATTTGTTTTAAAGTAATTTTAAGTAATTAAAGTATTTGTTGTTTTCTTTTTTAAAAAAAAAAAAAAGAAAGCTTCCAACAAAAGTTTTTGGGGTTTTTTGTATTTTGTTATTCAAGGTTCACAGCAGTGGTTCTGGAAAAGAAACTCAGCTCCGTGTCTCCCTGGAATCTCTCCTCAGTGCTGATCAGGCTGGTCGCTGGTGGATCGTAGGGTCATCCTGGAGTGGAGCACCAATGATCAGTGATACAAACAGCAAGGCTCAGCAAAAACCGCATATAGGAAAGGTAAATCCAAGCACTGCTAGCTATAAGTCTAAGTGTTTGTGATCTTTTGAATATTCTTCATACTGGTGAATAAGTTCATTTCAGAGCCCACCAAAAAAACCTTCACAGACTCTTGTAAGACTAAGCTTTTGGACTGTAAATTCTGCTCTTACATTTTTCAACATGCTGTACGCCTGCGCTTCATAAGAGCTGTTACTACAAATATTATGGTATAGCTTGTTTGTCTTATCCCATGGAATTGCAAAAGTAACTTGTAACGTAAGTGGAAGAAGAGGCTTGCCCTCAAGTAGATTTGCTGGTATGAATTCTGGCAGGTAGTTGTGTCTGTCCATGGATGGCATATATCTAAGCTGATTCTAAAAGTAATGTGGTAGAGATGGTCATGGTGACTTATGTTAGAGAAGCATGTCTTAAAAATAATTGGCACAATTAAAATACATTAAAATATATTTCCCTAGTTGGAAAAGCTCCTGATGATGCCTATGCTTCTGGACAAAAGCTCGGGACCTTTGGATTGATGCTTTGTAGTTTACTGGAGATTTTCATTAATGGTCTTATTAGAGGCTGCACAGAAATATTCCTCTTAAAGCAAGCATAAATAAAATAGCATTTAATATTTTTTTTCAGGTGAGTTCAAAGATAATGGAGCTTGCTCGTAAGCAGAGAATGAACACCGATATCAGGAGAAGTATTTTTTGTGTCTTGATGACAAGTGAAGACTTCCTGGATGCCTTTGAGAAACTTCTCAAGTAAGTACAGACTAGCACGGGAGACAGCCCAGAAGTAAAAATAGCATTAGCTGGATAGGAAAAAATAACATTGCTGGTCTGGGCTTAAGAGCATGTAATTGATAATACAATTAAAGAAGTGCATAGCTAGGGATCCACGTAGGGTAAAAAGGTAGGAGAGGGACCAAAACCCTCGTGTAAGGACTAGTAGGGGGCAGGCAGAACTGACTGGCAGTCAGAGGAAAGGAGTAGCCCCTGTTATTGTCAGTCATGTCTGTAACTGTGATTTACAGCATCTTTTGCCTTAAGAAGCCTGAATCTTTTTGCATTGAAGATGTGCATCCCAGTCTAGCGGATGGAAGTCTGTTGCAGGCTTGCTTTCTTACAGAGGCAGACCAGAAGCCCCTTCAGAACATCTCTTGGTTTTGTCGCTGGATTTCCATACTACTGCCACTTCCTTTACTTCTTGCTACCTCGTTAAGCCATCTTGTAGGTCTCCCTCCATACTTGCATGACCTGGTAGTGTCCTAGCACCTCCACTTCCCTCTTGCAGAATTCATTAGCTTTGGATTTGCTCCAGGGTCACATTTCCCATTAAGACCAGTTTCCTTACCACTTGGCAAACAGCTCCTTAGAAGATGTGATCAGGGAAAACCTCAAACTAAGCTATTCTTTGTGTTTGTCAGAATATTAATTGTAAGTCTGTAGTAACTGGGAGGGGAGAGATCAGGTCTGAACTTTTCTATTGCAACCTTGTAATTCAAGGGAATTGTCTTACCAGGATGGCATGCAATTATTTAATTTGCTAACCAAACCAAAACAGAGTTTGTAATAAAGTCAACTAATATTTGATTAAATGCCACTTCTGCAAAACACAGCTTGGATTTAAGACTGTGATGGAGTCATTCCAATATCTTAATATGGCCTGTTCAATTAAAAGAAATTAGCTGCTGCTGCTGCAGTTCTTGCCAAGACCTGGTAGTTCAATTTGCAAATTGATCCTTGACTCTCATCCATGCTATTTAAACTAGTATACAAATCTGTATACATACAGGCTTGGGAGAAAAACTCTGTCTGCAGGTTGCCTGGTATGTGTTGATACTGATTTTTATACAGCAAACTCAGAGAGGAATTCTCAAATCTGCCCACATCTGGCAGAGTATAATGGAAAGTACACAGAATTTTCAGGGAAGAAATTGACTTTACTGTGAACATGCGTTCCAGAGTGTATGGGAATTTATATTCATATGTTTGATGTCAGTCTCATGAGGAAGAGCCTGAGAAATACATAAAGAAATACTTTAGCTGTGCTTGTTGATTCATCTCCTGCTAGATCTCTGGCAGAGTTGAGGTGTGGTTAAATGGTTATTTAAATAATTTTAAGTCCATGCCGCTATAGTTCTACTTGTCTTTCTTCTCCTTACATCAAAAGAAAGTAATGAGTTTGAAGCCAGAACGGCTCCTGAAGTGGCTCAGCTTGTGATTGCAGAAGTGGCAGTGTAAAGGGAGGACTGGGAACATCACTGGAGACAAAGAGAGTGAGCCTTGATCTGTTTCATCAGCTGAAAGGCCGCACCTCCTTCACAAACCACAGATTCACACATGAGGCGGAATGAATTGCTGCTTAAGTTTGATGAAGAGGCAATTTTTTAAGCTATTTCATAGAGATGAAGAATTTGAGAAACTTTACATCTCACAAAAATTGAAACTTGTAAAACTCTTAGATATCCTGTTGTAGTGTGGTGTGTAATTTACGATAGCGAGTATGTGACTGTACCTACTAAAATAATTTGAACTGACTTTTAAAAGGTGGGTTTGAGTATTGCTATTTTTGATCTAAAGGCAATGATAGTCTCAGGCTTCAGCTGATGATAACTAAGCTACTTAGAGGCAGGCTTCTGCTGGTCATGAATATTCTACTTCAGAGACAGTTATCCCATATACAGAGGGAAATTCTTAAAGTGATCAAGACACACAAGTCCATGGGAATATTGTAACTCATGAACGATTTAATAAGTGAGGTGATTGCATATTCTTTATCTAAGATTATCAGGCTTATGAAATCTGTACGGGTTTATGGTGAAGCTCAGCAGTAAAGGACAATCCTGACTCTTATATGTAGATGTTCAGGAATGCTAGGTCTGAAAAGAGAAAATACTGGTAGGTCTGTGAAGAAGTGAAGGTAAAAACAAAAGAGAACATCGAAGTGCTGATTTGCTTGGTTACAACCATCTGGCAACATGAATATTTCCTAAATAAGCAAGTCGTGATAGAAGTGATGATGAACAAGGAAAAGGAGCATGTGCCAAATTAGTGATTGCAATGTAACTTCACAAGTCATCTGTTAAATGCATGTCCGGTGGCTGAAAACCTGTGTATTTTAAAAAAAAAACAACCTTTTGTTGCTCTGTAATAAAATCAGATAGAACTTAGGCTAATGGGAGAACAAGTGAATTATATCACAGACACAGCACTTACAGTGCTGGTCTCTTTTGGAGAAGCAGACTTCTAAATTTCATTAGCCGTCAGCCTAGAAATCATCCCAGATTTTCATATTGTAAAACCTTAAATTCTGGGGAGGGTTGGCTGACAGACAATATTTTCTCTGTTAATCTGGTATGTGTCTGTGATCAAATGCAATGGCAGATGTCTGGAGGTGTATACAAAGGAGGGATACTAGACTGAAGCAATGACAAGCTGTACTCTACAGACCGCAGAGCAAGTTCCAGCAGAGTCAGACTTAGTTAGAAAATACACTTGAGTTATACGAATGCCATATGAAACTTGAGCTTGAAGCAATGAAAAGAATTTTGTTTGACATTTTTCAGATTATAATACGAAGCGTTTTTCTTTTTAATTGGTCTTAAGGCTGCCAAGCATTTGGCAGCCCTGGAAGCTAAATCATATTATTCAAAGAACAGGTGCTTTGCAAGTTAGTAACCATTCCCTGCCCAAGTGTCTCAGCCCTCTTTTAGACTGGTCAGCTGTTCAAGTGGGAAGGCTGTTCAGTCCTTGGCCTTTATGCTGAGGCAGCCAACATAAGTACCCATTGATACTGACTGTTTTCTTCAGGCTTTTTTTTTTTTTTCTTTTAAGGTGGTTTGAAGTCACTGACTGCATCCTCTTAGGTTACTGTCAAACAATAATGAATTTCAAGTATTATGTAGCATGGAGTTGACCTAGAGATGAAAAGATTCATATCACCAAGTAGGAAAAACATCTTAAAATATTTTCTTATCCCTAGTAAGTACCACAGAAGTGACAGGCCCTGGACATGTTTCTCTAGATACGCTTATACTGATCCAAAGGCTCCTTTTCCTCCTATGGCCATAGGTACAAGTGTGAGATAACTGCAACAGGGTCCTACAGTTCTTGTTTCACTTTAACCTTTGCATTGGTACACCATGCAGCACCGCTTGCTGCAGTGCTACGTTCAAAGGCACAAGACTCCACGATGACAGGGCCCTCTCCTCTGTTTTTCTTCATGGAGAGCTACAAACATGGAGTCGGCTACGTTTCCTTCCCCATAGGGTAATTATACTTGTGTCATTCCACTTCTGTCTGTTGAGGTCTTGCTTTTGCAGCCACTCTTCTAACACCAGTAATACTGTAGCATTTACATATTGCCATACCAGGATACTGATTTAACCCACAGTCTTAAGGGTTTGAGTCCATTCCGTGTTTTAAAGATGTTATAAGAGCTTTCTAACAAACTTTAATGTGGTATTTGGAGGGTTTTTTCTTAAGTATTACTCTCTTATCTTGACTGTAGCTCTTACTTTGTGGCAGTAATTTTTTCCTTACTAAACTATTCTTATTCTCTTGCTAAATTTTAGGCTTGGACTGAAGGATCAGCAGGAGAGAGAAATTGTTCATGTTATCCTTTACTGCTGCTTACAGGAGAAGACGTATAACCCCTTCTATGCATTTTTGGCTAACAAGTTTTGTGAATGTGAAAGACGATTTCAGGTGAAGAAAAATCTGTTTCTACTTTGTTTTAGTGTCATTATTGTGGGTAGGAAGACAGTTATTAAATACCTGAGAATGGATGCATGCCTGTTAAGATCTTAATCCTGAGGAAAAATTCTGCTGATACAGCTAGGCGTTCAGTAAGGCATACTCATGGTCAGATATGAATAGGAAATAAAATAACTACTGCAGAAGGTTTGCTTTCCTCTGTTTTATGCATTTTAAAAGAATTGAACAGTCTGATCAAGCATCTCTGTTAATTAACAGAGGGCTCATAAAGAATGGAAGGTCGAAAGGTTTTGTTATATTGTTACTCATTTAAACAGTCACTTGATTTGTAGGATTTTTGTTTTTTTCCTTTGACACCTAGGTGACGTTTCAGTTTAGTATTTGGGACAAAATCAGAGACTTAGAAAACCTGTCAGCCGCTGCCATCTCCAACTTGGTTTCACTGTTGGCTCACTTATTAAGGACAAAATCATTGCCACTTTCAGTTCTCAAGGTTGGTGTGTTTTCTTTTCAGAACACTTCCATGTTTTCCTTGCATTTGCTAGTTCTATGGAAAATGTATTTTCTCTGTTACCTAACTGGTACTTCAGCTGTTCGTGGTCATAAGCCAAGACAAAACTTGTTCTAAAATTACCAAATAAATCCCATTGATTACGGTAATGCTATCATTTGGGGAAAAAGGAACCTGTGGTGACCCAGACATACAGAAAGTCTACGATTCTATATCTAGAGCAGTTGTAAGATTATTTTCTTTAGAGTATCCAGAGTTGGAACTGAGGCACCTTCATTAACAGGCTTTGTCAGTGGATTCTGTGCTACACTTTCTAGCTGATGTTGGTTTTTAGTAAGACCAGAAAGAAATCTACTGAGAATGGGAAGTCCATAGAATTTTATTAGAAGAATAATTGAAATAGCTAAACAGGCAATTAGATGGATTGTCCTAGGGACTTCTGAAGTATTTATCTAATTGAGAAATTAGATCTGGTATTCTGGTACTAGTAGACAGGTTATTCCTTAGAAACTTATCTGCTTCCTTATTGATTGGCTTTTGGAGGCAGCATTCTCAGCTAATTCTTCTGTGCCAGACTTAAGGCTCAGTATATATGGGAGGCCAGCTGGAGTGCTAAAAGCTGTTCACTTAGAAGAGAATTCAGCTGTTTGAAATACTTGAATTAATCTAATTCTCCCTCTCCCTCTCTCTCCACTAGGTAATTGAATTCAGTGAACTAGATAAACCCAAAGTCCGTTTCTTGCGACAAGTATTAAGCATGCTGTTAATCAAAACAGATGCTGAAGAACTTAGTGACATTTTTGTGAGGTAAGTGATCAGAGAGATCTCCAGGGAACCCTTGGTGAGTAGTAATTAAGAAGATAAGAAGTTTGCTTATTTTGTTTGGAGTTACACAGTGCCTTTTCCAAAGAACAGCCTTCTATCCCTTAAAAAGTAAGCTCTTCTGGGTAAGTGGGGGGAATCGTATCATTTGTGTGTTAGTACAGGCTCTGATAAAGATACAACTGTGAGGTGTGTTATACAAAATAAGGCTTCCAGATATTCAGTATATCATTTTGGTCATAGGATTTTCATGAGCAGAGCTCTGTAATTACCTGCTTTCCTTATTGCTTTACCATCTGTGTGCAGTGGGATTCAGTCTCCCAGCAGTCTTTGCTAGAATGTATCTTTAGTGTAAGAAGGAAAAATAAATAAATACTAATGAGGGAAAGGTTTGGCGCATTTATTTTTTATCACCATCGTCTGGAAAATCTTATTTTTGTATATGGGACAGGGTTGCCTGGAGAGGCTGGGAAATCTCCATCCTTGGAGATGCTTAGGACTTGAGTGGATAAGACTGAGCAACCTGACCACACCCAGATGTTAGTCCGACTTTAAACAGGAGGTCAGACAAGATGACCTGCCAACATCCTTTCTGACTTGAATAATTCCGTGATGCCATGATTTTGTTGTATGAAACTTGCAGTGTCACATAAAGTTAGCAGAAATTAGGTGATGACGTTTCAACTGTTATGGTGCAACACAAGGAAGCTCAAACATGGTGTTTGCCTCATTTGTTGCTGTAATGGAAGTGTTCACATAAAGCAAGCCTAAGGCTCCAATATTCCGTTTTATTGCTGAGGATCAATTGTGTGTTGAGTGTGTTTGGGCTGTTTGCCAAACCAATGTAGACTTGCTGGGAATTTGAAAGCCTCTTCAGAAAAGCTCCTTTTATAGGTTTTCTACGTCTCTATTTGAAGAAGATAAAGAAAAAAATTAAGAAACTCCTGAAACAGTAGAAGACTAAATACTGTTTTTGATCTGTATCTTTACAGGGTATCTGACAACCCCAAACTGGGAATGCTACGGGAAGGCTTGAAACTCTTCCTTACCCACTTCTTACTGAAAAATGTAGAAGCCCAAAAAAGTGCTGAAGAAGCTAGCTTATTAAAAGAAAGAGTTGAACTAGCAACCAAGGCTTTGCAAGCAAAAGAATACAAATTGAAGCTATAGTTCTGTTTTTCCAATAAAACATACAGAAAAACTGAGTCTGCATGAAGATGCAAAGCTTTGTTAGTCTTTCAGATGCAAATAATTGAGAATGAGGAGAGCCCTGTTACTCTAAAGGATTGGGTTTTTAATGTAAACAGTTACTTTGCTCTACACACTAGTTCCAGGTTTAATTGAAGGTGATACAAGGCGTTCTTGAAGAAAGGGAAAGTGTGGTTTTTGTTATGTCCCTTTTTAGAATGAGTGCTTCGTGTTGATGGTTACTGTCTGGAGCAGAGGATGAATTTCTCTTCTGTGATACTCCCAGTTGGCAGTAGCGTTCTGCATTGCATATTCTAACCTTTCGTTTAAAATTATGGCATAATACTGACCGCTGTATGTTAAAGCAGCAGTCTTAACCAAAGGCCTTTAGTAATTAATCATTGAACTTGCCTGAAGAAGCAGGCCGCTAGATGGCATAAGTACTGGTGAGTCAGTTTTGGAAGAAATCAACTTTTTTCTTCAAGTGTTGAAGTTATCCGCTAATTCTGTGAATTGTGTACCTGACTGTGGGTCAGGAAAAGATCTTCAGTTGGATTCAAAGCTGTCATAAAACGACTTGAAGATCTGACTTTGCCCAATTATATTGGGTGTAGAAATCACAGCGTAGTTTTATTGCTCTTTTAGCCTGTTTTTCACAGCTTTAAAATTGGAGTTGCCTAATCACTCGTGTTAATCAGGTTTTTCTAGGCATAAAGAATAATATCAGTATGAGTCTTTTAATAAGAGCATACCTTCCTTAAGAATTTGCTTGTATTTTCCATTCAGATGGTTTAAAAAATAAAAAAAATCACGTATGTTTGTTTCTGTAACACACAGTGTTAATGGTTTGTTTCTTTTGTCACCTTACCACTACACATTAAACTGCAATTTTTCTAAAGGCTCTGCTGTTTGTGTTAGCTTTGCTTTAGCTGGCTTGCCAGGAAGGGAATGCCCTTAAACTGGGGGGGAACGGGGGAAGCATTTTTTTGTCTGCAATGTGTGCTGCATCTGCATCATCTACCTGTGCTAGAGCTGCCGGCCCTGTGTCTATAACCAGGCTTGCCCTCTGCTCTTCAGTGCTTCACTCGCTTATGGCGCCTCCTGATTGCATTCGGTACCAGTTGATCTGTTCAGCTGCTTTGGCTCTGTCCCTGTTGGGAAGATTTGCTCCCAGTAGGCATCCTCCAGAAAATGTTCGGTTCTGCAGCAAGAGAGGTGGACAAGAATTTTAATTTTTTTGTTTTGTTTTTTAATCAAAGAGTTGAATGTAGAATACTCTGCTTGCTTAGTTGTATGAGTAATGTTTTCAGGCGGAGGAGTGCTTCCCCCAGCAGCCAGAGAGCTGGGTTTTTTCAACTTTACTCTGTTGGAGAGGGCAAGTTGTAGGGAACAAGATGTTCTGGGAGCAGAGAGACCCAGTTTCCAAATCCCAGGTTACGGTAGCACAGTAACAACTGACACAGAAGAGATGAGTATCAAAAGAACAAAGCAAGGTGCTTTCTTCAGCCTGTTTCATACCACTGGCAGCTTTTAAGCATACAAAACTGGTGATTTCCCCTCAGTTGTATCTTGCGCGCAACTGACAGAAGAGGAAAAAAGTTTAGTTACAGGACTTCTAAAATTCATGCCAATTAACAGAAGTACAGGCAGCAGAAGAATTGGTGCTGTATTTTGATGGATACAAAAGTCACGACTTTGAAGAGTGCGTGTAAGCAGCTCCCTTGCAAACAACCACGCCAAACCTCCTGTTTTGGAGGCTGGACTTGGGAGAAAATCTGTGCAAGCCCCTAGAAACTGGCTGCTGTGGAATGCATGGGACCTCGGTGAGTCAAAATTGCTCTCCCTAGACTGCAGCAGCCGCCTAATTAATTACCTTTTTTGCAGGAGTTTGGGTAGGCCCAGCATTTCAATGTGTTTGTGGTTTAATAATGTGTAAATGGAAACACATTGCTCTAGCTGGGAGGTTGAGGCAACTTTGCTCCTCGAGATAAATCTTGAAACATCTTCCTTGAATTAAATGCGACAGCCTGCCGGTTCCTTCTTTGAATGCTTTGCGTGGTGATCGGAGCCGGCCACCCTCTGGTGCCTGTGGAAAGATTGCCTAGTGTTTTATGGGCCCGAGCCTGCTCGCTTGCTGCAGCTGCCCGAGGCAGTGTGATGCAGGTGTCCCTGTGCAATTAGAGGAGATGGTTTTAACCTTGCAGTCTAAAATTACAATTGCTATTTTTTTAAAAACCGAGACTTGCATTAGTTATTATTTATCCCAAACAGCTAGTATGTTTTCTTCAAACTTACAGTTATTAGAGCCATTGCTTTGTTTCTGAAAAAAACAGATTTTACCTGCCTGCAGCTTTTACGTTTGTCACATTTACGTATAAACATAAATCTTTTTGAAAAACTGAATTTTCAAGGAAAGCAGCCAAAACACACTGCCAGCGCACAGTGCCGCAGCCGGGTACAAGGCCAGTTGCTGCGGGTGATTCTCCCTAAGTTCTGTCCTCACGCTCTGACTGTCAAACAGAAATTTGACGATTCTAAGATAAATGTGAATTCCTCAGTCTTGGATCTCGTCATGTTCAACAGTTTTTTTTTCCATGGTCCTACTGGCCAATCTGCCACAACTTGATGGAGGCGGACGGCCTGTCAGAGCGTGCTACTGATGTACGTACGCACCTGCAAGCTCTCGCTTCTGTGGTCCAGTCACATCCCAAGGATGTAAGGCGCATGTGAAAAGGAAAGCTGAGATGATTTTCTATTTATTTTTATATATTTATATTAAAGTGTATATTATTTTTATGCATAATATATATTCTAGATATATGTATACATGTATGTATAAATAATATATGTAATATATATTTTTATATATATATATATCATATTTTTAACCCTGGAGAAAAAACTTGTCGCCAGCAAAGCTAGCCCTGCCAAAGCGTCTCCTCCTCGTAGCAGCGTTGATGGTACTGTAAGGTCCCTCCATAACAGCAGCAAGTCCCAGTGCTGGCAAGCGGCTCCTCGCAAAACCGCACGCTAAGCACTGGCTGCCAGCCGAGGCTGCTGGAGAAGTTGCACCGGCCTTGGACGTGTTTTGCTTTGTCTGAGACGGAATAAATGTTCGGTAACACACACAAAATCCAGAATGTCGAGATTTCTTGCTGTTGAGTGTTAGACTGTTAGCCGACATCAAACCTCCATGAGAAATGTTCCCGGATCGTTCCAATAAGAGAGATGCCACTTAAGATGTCCAAAATTCTTCCATAAAGGAGGTTTGGGGGAATTACTACATCACAAGCAGAAAATAGCTTTGAACTGGTAAAAACACACTACGCTGGAAAGCCAAGCAGCTATGGTTGCAACGCTAATCCGTACGCCTGACAAGGCAGTGGAAAATACGGCGTGATTTGCTTTAGATGCATTTAACTAAAAGGCAGATGTTTGATTTTTTAGCCATAGAGCAGAAGATTTCAATTCCCCTTTAAACAGCACTATCCACTCACAGCTATTATCACGGTTTCCATTTTTGTTTTCTTTCAAGCTGGACAGCGATGTTTTAAACTTTCTCTGTTTTCTGTATCAAAATTAACGGGGCAGTAAAGTCTGGTTTTTAGCTTTGGCCAGAGTGTTACGCTGATAAATCATACGCAAGTCCTTTTGGCAGGGTTTTAACACCGCACCTGAATGGGCCAAGTATCTGCAGGGCTTTTTTAACTTGACGTTTTTCCATTGTCCCGCACACCGGGGATGACGGGTTGATATCAGTCGTGCTCCGAAAGCGCAGACGCAAGCAGGTCTGCCCTGCCTCGCGCTAGCGAAGGTGTGCAACCCAATACTGTACTTAAAGCACATCTGGGATCGTTTGATTCGCGTTGTTCGCCGGGTGAACTTTGCAACGTGAAAAGTTACAGCCCGGGAGCCGCGCGGTGCCAAATGTGCGCGACAGTGCTTTCGGCTTAATAAATACGCAAGTGGCAACATTAATACTCACGTTTGTTGCATTGAGCGTAATAGCGGCTTAGTGCCCGGCTATGTCCCGTGTGTGCGAGAATCAATACATGATTTTTTCCTGCGGTAGATGAAGCGCTTTTGTTTTCAGGAGACCATTTGATCCGTAGGGTCGCTTTTCCAAAGGCAGGGTGTAAGTTTTACCCAAGACTTCTTGGGTTGGACTGATTTCAGGAAATTGTAGGTAGAGATAAGACTCTCACCATATGACACTTTTCGGTATTTCATCTCCTGGAGGAGTTTTCCTTCGCCCTCCGGTAAAGGTTAGTTCACCGTGAGGCCTGCAGGCATGGACATCACAGCTGCCCGTATAAAAGAGCTGTGCTATCCTCAAATTCCAGTGCGACCTGCAGCCTCGCTTTAAAACTAATTACAGTAGCCTTCCACTAATTGAAATGCATGCACAATTCAGAATGGGATATCATGTGGTTTCCCTAATAACACTTTAAGGAAATGATACGAGCATCAATCAAGAATAAGTATAGGAAGAGCCAGCTGGCACCAAATATTCCTTAAAACTCGTGTCCGAGGACAAAATGGTTCACGCACCAAAACGAGCTCCCTTTGCGCGAATGGAGGACTTCAAAGCGAATACATTAAAAAATGACTAAGCAATGTAACTAGAAAGGGAGGCACACAGCAAGATGACAAATAGAGACCTTTTCTGAATAGTTCCCTTTAAAGGCTTTTGTCAGTAACAGCGGAACGGTTGTTTCATTTTCAAACGTGAAAGATTTCCAAGCATGACATTTTCCATTAAAAACTCCATGATGGACCTTTTACCGTTCAGTCGGTAAGAGTACCCTCAAATCTCTCTTGCGTATGCCGGCACACACAGCCCTGACGTGACATACCAGGGAATATTGTTAGGAGGCGGTGAAGCCCGCTGCGGGAACAGCCTTCGGTTACAGCCAGGGGACGGAGCAATGCGTTTTTCTAGTATAGAGACAATAAGTCAAGGTAAGCTCAGTGTCACCTCG